CTACTACCTACTACCTACTACCTACTACCTACCACCTACTACCTACTACCTACTACCTACTACCTACTACCTATACTAACCACTAACCACTAACCACTAACTACCACTACCACTACCACTACCACTACCACTACCACTACCACTACGACGACGACGACGACGACTACTACAACAACATCCACAACAACCAGAACAACAACAACGACGACGACGACGACTACGACGACGACGACGACCACTACCACGACCACGACCACTACCACTACCACTACCACTACCACTACCACACTACCACTACCACTTCCACTTCCACTTCCACTACCACTACCACTACCACTACCACTACCACGACGACGACGGCGACGGCGACGACGACGACTACTACTACTGGCAAGTTTTCTTTTTTTCACCAGCGTGTATCGACCGACGCCTAACCGATGCCCTAACCGATGCCGCGGAGTGACTTCCACACCCGATCAAGGGACGTGCCCACTCGAGAGCAGATTTTAGGGTTCAAATGACATGCCCAAGAGAAAGGAACTAGCAGCTGCATATCACGAAAGGTAGCCTGGTAAGGACTACCTTGAGTTTGCTTTGCGAAGCAAAGGGACTGGCTTGAGAGCCTGCTCGGCACTAAAGATTGGCAGATCAATGTCTAACACCCCCACCCCCCCCTCCCATGTGATGATTCATCGATAAATCAATTGTTTTGCACCCCCCCCACCTCCCCTCCCCGTCCCCTCCCCTCGCCAGCACTACTAGAAAGCTGGACACACCATGACACCATAAGGTGAAGTCATGCGCTTAGCAGTCACAGCAGTACGACGCTGGCCATGAGGTTGCGCAATGCGGCTTCGATGCGGTGCGCACGCGCCCGGCAGCCTGACATAGCGCGTACTGCGTTCACAGACCATATTGCTCGACACCAACGAGCATCGATTCAACACAGCCTCTCTGCAAAGCCCTGTGGAGAAACCTCTCGCTTCGCGGAGCACCATTCGCCTCAGCCTTATACCCTCGCGTGGCGACATTTTACCGCATCGTGGAGCACCACTACACAGCTGTTTACGCGCCCTTCCCATCAGCCACCCACCATAGCGTGACGTCCATCCCTTGCAGTACCGGCGGCTTCGACGCAACGCGTGCAGGACTGCAATCCTGACACAGTGCACGTAGCTGTGGGACCATAGCTGGTTAACATGCGAGCGCTTACGCATTGCGACTTTTCCGCGCGCCTGTTTTCACACACCTTTACACAAACGAGCGTCGACGCAACGCAGCCTCTCTGCAGAGCCGGGTGGCGCAATCTGATCGCAACGGTGTTCCTCTTGAGCCTTCTTGTGCTCTTTGGCTTTGTTGGTTTCATCCATGATTGACCAAAGGGAACGTTCCTGAAACACCGGAGACAGTCCCTCACCAAAAAAGGTGCCGACAGCTACCCGGTCCGTCTCTACCATTCGTGTTTCCCTGCTCAAGTGTGAGGTCCTTGAACTTGTGAAAAGTTGTATGCTCTGCTGTGCGTTGCTTCGCCATGTCCATGACTATACTTTTGCTTGGAAACATACGGTATGTTAGTGAAATTCACCAAACATTGGAAACCGATGAAGAAAACCCAAGCCCGATGCCCTGTCCTGATGACCGCTCCCAGATGTAGGGAATTTTGGACCGACCTCAAATGCAGAAAGCTCAGGCACCAATGATTCTGTTACCAATTTCAGGGCAGAGATAGAAGGCTAGGGAACTTGAAATATCAGCAAACAAAATCACCTATGTAAACCCATCCAATCCATCCCTCCCCCTTGACGAGAGAAAGGCATCGCAGCTTTTGGATTTTGATCTTATGACAACTTTCGACTATCTTACAATGCGTGGCTACCCAAACAATATTTGCTAAATCATGAGTTTATGTTGGAAGTTGTGGACGTTGGCTACCACAAAATCTATTTTTGAGAGGTCTTTTAATGCTTGGCTTCCTATGATTCTATGTTGTTTTTTGCCTCGGCTACTCAGATTCTATTTCATTTTGAGGGGTTCCAACCCCCCTGTCCATCATAACAGCGATAGTCTAGGAACCAAATGAATAGTACCAGCGCTTCTTTACAAGGAAGCTTGGACATGGACGTGCGATTTGTGCTGCTTGGACGTACTGCGAGTCTTTTGGATTTGAGCCGTGTAGGTCGTGGGAGCCACACTGGTGCCTTTGACCATCGAGGACGATCTTGACCTTGTCGAGGGATGTGAACAGATGCGTCACGTTGAACGCAAGATGCATCTGCTCATCGCATCCTTAATGTTTACATTGACATTTTGTATTGTTGATGAGGAACTGAACAGTGTACAAACTTTAAATTCACATGCTTTTGCGAAAGCCAAAATGCCGGTTGCGAACGCCCGCAAAAGCTCCTATAAGAACTGTGTTGCGAACATTTTCGCGAATGTCGAATTTCTTGGCCCAATAAAGCTTCCCAATCGAAAGCAAATCGTCGCGAAAGACTGCGTGAAAGCCAAAACGGAGGTCGCGAAAGCTCTGCAAAAGCCTTGCGAAAGCAAACCGGGATTATACATAATACACAAAAATCAGAAAAGAATATGCGGTTTTCGAAGCTGCTCTGATGATGCTAAAGATATCTCACGATGGTGTATCCCAAGGTCATCCAGAATCCACCTGAGTTTAATCCTGTGTAATCATCGGCATGTCATCGGTACTTTTCAATTCAGCTTGTCTTAACTGCCGGCAGGAGCGGCAGCAGATCTTGGAGACCAAAGGTCTCAAGCAGCGCCTGGAGTTGGTTCTGGAGCGACCCGGGGTGCCTTCGGGAGGGTTTTGGCCTCTTAGTCTAACTCTTTTGGCTCACTTGAAGATTGGTAATGCTACTACTTGTTTGTTGAAGATCCTTTTCATACCACAGCGACCAGGGACCTGATAGGTGAACCATCCAAGTCAAAGAACTGCAAAGGAAAGAACTCAGCAGTTCGTGGAGGAACATACATTCTACATGTCTATGTGGCCTAGTATCTCAGCTGTGGCTGTCACTGACAAAGCCACGATGCACTGATAGATTTCAGCTGGCAGGACTACTTGCAGCGTGAGTCGCAAGCGATGCGTGTGTCTACTCAAATCAGCGAGAGCATTCAGAGGCCTCCAACAGGTTGACAATTGCTTGAATGAATCCATGCACATCTCCATTGGATCCTGAAAAGTTGCCTCCAACAGTGAGAAGTGTCCAATAGGAGGCTGCGTAGTACTATATAATTGAAAACGGGAGAAGGACAAAACCAAGGTGTTTGGGCTCCTTCAATAAGGCCTCCTTTAAAGGTGCCTTACTAGAGGGGCCCCAAAGACTTCTTTGTACACACACACATATACATATATATATATATATTTGTTCTTTAAGGTAGTCTTTTCTTTCACTGTAAGGTGTCTTGTGCCAGGTCGCGAGACCATGAGATGAGATTGGCGCATCCGACATGTCTTTGTTCGCAGCGAAAGGAACCATGAGCTAGCAGCAATGAGTTGCTCCTTTTGGATCCTTTCCATTCGGTTCCTTGGATTTTTCTTGGCCAGATGGCGCTTCAACGGCAAGCACAAGAGGCACGGCACGCTTCGGAACGCAGAAAATAGTTCGCTTCGGAACGCGGGAACGGTATCGCTTCGGAACGCGTGTCAGAGCTAGTAGGTTGGAGGCCATCAAAACGTGTGTGTGTGTGTGTGTCCCACCCTGGACAAAGGGTCTTACCCCACCACTTTCACACAGGCAGGGGGGCAGTGATCCTTTCAGCAGTCACTGCCTAACAAAGACGCTGCTGATCGGATGTGATATTCAGAGAGGACGCTCTCTGAACGTACCTGCGCCAGTTTTGAACTTTTGCCCACGCTGTTCCAATCTCTCTTGTTTGCTTCCATGGTTGTTCACGTTTCCTCCCCCAAACCTCACGGAGCTTATTGCAGCTTAACTTTGCAGCCGACTCGTTGCGCGCCGTTCTTTTCTGCAGACTGGAACAACTTTTTTGAAACACCTACAAGTTTTCGGACCTTTCCACCTTGCCGTTCCATCGCCTTTTTCCCATTGAGACAATTGCGTTAACTGAAACTCCAAGTTCGAAGTGTGTCCTGCTCAGCCGTCCCACTCGGGTGCTGAGTGTGATCCCCTTCACAGGGGCGCCGTTCTTGCATGGGAAAGCAACCACCCCAACGCACCACCGATCACTGGAACATCACAGGAAGGCACCGACACCCTCACAGAATCAACCGCCACACCGGCCGCCGGGCCAAAAAACGGTTTTT